GCCTCCCAAGTAGCTGGGACCACGGGCGCCCGCCACAATGCCCAGCTATTTTTGGTTGCAGCCGTCATTGTTGTTTGGCAGGCCTGGGCTGGATTCGAACCCTCCAGCTCAGGTGTATGTGGCTGGCGCCTTAGCCACTTGAGCCACAGGCGCCAAGCCCCATTCATCAGTTCTATAAACTAAACTCCTAGATGGGCCAGACCTTTGACAAACTGCTGAGCACATGACAATTTATAAAATAGACATGGTTCCTGTTCTCATGTAATTCTTACTCAAGTGTGGGATATGCCAAACAGATCTTAAGAAATATACACACATAGGTGGTGCCTGTGGCTCAGTGGGTAGGTAGCCAACCCCATCCATATGCTGAGGGTGGCGGGTTCAAACCCAGCCCTGGCCAAATTGCAAAAAAAAAGAAAATAACATAATTTTGGTCTCATTCTTAAACAGTAACTTTCTTTGAACACAAAGAATAATCATTAAAACTGGTTATGGTAAGATATTTGAGCCAAAGTATTAAAAATTCATGTATTTGTCATAGATGAGAATATGGAAGTTGACAATATAAATGTAATTTTAAAATTACAGTTTTGTTTACAGTATTTAAAAAGAGGTCAAGTTAACATGCATAAACTATTCATCCTCCAAAATTGTATACTTACTGTATTAGGATTTTGAAAGTTTATTCCAATCCATTTCTTCTTTTATATTCTAAAACATCTTCATTATGTTGTCTGATGAGCTACAAGTAGTTAACATGTAAAGTCAGAAATGTAATCTTCCTTGCACCTTAAATAGGAGGCTAACTAACTTACTTTTACATTGCAAGAGTAAGGATGGTAAAAATAATTACAACTATGCTAGTTAGAAATAAAAGACTAAGAAATCCAAAATCCAAAACCATAAATGGTATACACTTGTTCACCATAATCTGACATACTATATTGGAGAAGGCCGCCCACGAAAGTTTAAATTCAGGGCAGTGCCTGTGGCTCAGTGAGTAGGGTGCTGGCTTCATATACCAAGGGTGGTGGGTTCAAACCTGGTCCCAGCCAAACTGCAACAAAAAATTAGCCAGGTGTTGTGGTGGGTGCCTGTAGTCCCAAACTTGGGAGGCTGAGGCAAGAGAATCACCAAGAGCTGGAGGTTGCTATGAGCTGTGATGCCATGGCACTAAGTTTAAATTCAACTTCTGCTAAAAATATTACTTCATTCATTAGGTAATAAATGGAAGAAAATGTCTTACCAGAGAGAGGTTAGTAGCTCTTAAAAGTTAAATTCAACTTCTACTAAAAACATTGCTTCATTCAGTAGGTAATACATGGAAGAAAATGCCTTACCACAGAGGAGCTAGTGATACACCAGAACTTAGTTATTCCATGGGGTCCTGGCAGGTTGGTGAGTGTGTGTTCTACCTCTAATTTAGAAGTCTAGTACTGAATGAATGACTAGCACCTCCATCCTGAACTGTATGTGTATTAATTAGATGTCAAGAAGGAAAGCCACTTTCTTAGAACCACTGCCTGACAGAATATACAACTGGAACAATTGTTGATATATGCTGGCATTCACAGCAATCAAAAATCCAATTTTAATCATTTGTGTTCTCAACCACAATTAAGCTTCTTTTTAGGAAAAACCTAAAGATAAGAATGTATAAAATTTCATTATAACAAATTTGTCATTGAAAAGGATGAGTTAGGTCTGGCGCCTGTGGCTCAAGCGGCTAAGACGCTAGCCACATACACCTAAGGTGGCAGGTTTGAATCCCCAGCCCAGGCCCGCCAAACAACAATGATGGCTGCAACCAAAAAATGGCCGGGCGTTGTGGCGGGCGCCTGTGGTCCCAGCTACTTGGGAGGCTGAGGCAGGAGACTCGCTTGAGCCCAGGAGTTGGAGGTTGCTGTGAACTGTGATGCCATGGCACTCTACCCAGGGGGATAGCTTGAGGCTCTGTCTCAAAAAAAAAAAAAAAAAAAAGAAGAAAAGGATGAGTTACTTTTGTTAAGTTGTAAGTGAATTTCAAAATCATTTAGCCCTTTCAAGTCAAAGATCTGAACTACTTCGAGGAGAAAATACAAAATAAGAGATCTAGGCTAGGCATGGTGGCTCACCCCTGCAATCCTGGCACTCTGGGAGGCTGAGGAGGGTGGATTGCTAGAGCTCACAAGTTTGAGACCAGCCTGAGCAAAAGCTAGACCCTGTCTCTATTAAAAATAGGAAAACTGGAGCCTGAGTTGGAGGTTGCTGTGAGCTGTGATGCTGCAGCACTCTACTCAGGGTGACAGACAGTTTGATACTTTGTCTCAAAAAAAAAAAAAGAGACCTAAGAGGTGGAGGTAGGAAGGGCAATGGAGAAAGCCCCAGATTCATAATACACAAAATTTTAAACACTTATATAGCAGATACTTTGTGTCAACTTTTAAAAATAATCTCTACAAAGGCAGCATATTGCAGTAGCATATTATGTATGCCCTCTGAGGTCAGAGAGACCTGGGTTTCACAAACTAATTTCTCTACATGTGCTTCTTCATCCACAAAGGATCAATAATAACAATGTATACTACACAGAATTGTTGAAATGACTAAATGAGAGTTTACATGTAAAGCATCTGACATACAGATTTTTTTTTAAAGGCTGCTATGCACTAACCACAATTTCCAACAATGTATTTATACAAATGTTGATTAAAATCTAATGTTTTGGAAGTCTACTGGGATTTAATTTGTACAACTTGTTCACTACTGGTTTGTCCCTATGGCACCACAAAAAAGTGCCTTCATAATACCCCAACCAGCCTCAAATCTTATTAAGAAACAAAACTTACATTTAGTAAAACTGCCATTCCTCACAAAATCATGCTAAGTAATAATGACTTACAGAAATTTCAATCATACTTTATCAATGGCACTGAAATTGTAATTTCTTTTAGTCTTTCTTGGGATTTCCTTTATGGAAAAATGTTATCAGCGATTATGGAAGTATCCTCTTGTTAAGGGAGTTTTACTCCCACACAACAAAACAGCACTAATCTCAATCTAACACAGAGGTCTATCCCGTTCTCTTACTGTGTTGCGGTCTCACGACATGCGAAAGTACTTACATAGAACCATAGAAAGATGCTGGTGCCCAACGCCAACCCAACTTTCAGCCAGTCCGGCTTGGCGTTCGGTGGTTCCCGAACGTAGAACTTTGACCGCACCGAAGCTGAAACGGGACAGAATCTGTAAATCCGTAACTTATTGCCTTGTAAGAAAAAAAAAAACTTAATCTTTACGTGTGTATTATCTCATTTAACCATTCCATCACCCCTCCCTCCTCAGTCAAGGAAAAAGAGGTTCAGAAAGGTCAGGTGACTTCCCCAGCGCCACCAGCAGAGTCTGGTTGCTCTTGTCCAGCCTTCAAAACCTGGTTTAAAAAGGAATTGCGGGGCGGACCTTAGCTGAGTGGGTAGGGCGACGACCACATACACCTAGCCCGGGCCAGCTAAACAACAATGAGAACTGCAACAACAACAAAATAGCCGGGCTTTGTGGTGGGCGCCTGTAGCACCAGCTACTTGGGAGGCTGAGGCAAGAGAATCGCTTAAGCCCAAGAGTTGGAGGTTGCTGTGAGCTGTGACGCCACAGTACTCTACCGAGGGCGACATAGTGAGACACCGTCTGAAAATATAACTAATAAAAAAGGATTTGCGGCCGGCTGCGCCGCAGTGGATCACACCTGTAATTCCTAACACTCTGGGAGGTCGGTCAGTTGGACTGCTTGAGCTCAGGAGTTCGAAACCAGCCTGAGCAAGAGCGAGACCCTATCTGTACTAAAAATTGAAAAACTAGCAGGTGTTGTGGCCGGCTCAGCCTCAGAGACTGAGGTTGCTGTGAGCTATGAGGCCACAGCATTCTACCCAGGGCGACAGAGTGAAACTCTGTGTCAAATAAATAAATAAACAAAAAGGACTTGCGGATCCGCAGACCAATCGGGAGTGGGCAGGTAGAAGACGCCCCAGGGAGCGTTTTTCCTTCTCCCTGTCTGCGGCACCGAACCTGTGGAGTTGGGAAAGGAGGGACCAAAAGTCCATTCTCAGAGGCCAAGACGGGTCAGGCGACACTTGGAAAAAAGGAGGCGGGGGATGGGAGCCGGAAAGTCCCGGGTAGGGGTAGATGTGGGCTCCAGTCCGCCATCGGCGAAGGTCATTGTACGAGGAGTGCCGGCCACTGTCGCCTCGTATGCCGGGCCGCCAGCGGCGAAGGTCATTAAACCCCGAGCCCGGGCCGTTGCTGCTTTGTACCCTTGCAGGCCAGGTCCACCCTGGGGAGGAGTCGAGTCTGCCTACACGAAGGTGGACACTCACAGCCGCTCGGGAGCTTGGCAGGAGCCAACAGCCGCGAGAAGGGACGAAGCCATGCAGACGGCGCCATCTTGCCGAACCCAGCTGGCAGACGGCGGCAGTCCCAGCGCCCCCTGGCGGGCGGAAGTGCGGGGTCCGCCGGAGCGGTGAATCCCACTATGGCAGGTGCCTAGCAGCCTGGCCTTTTGTCTGTAAAGCAGCTAGAAAGGAAAATAAAAAAGTTTATCTACTTCTCAGTCCTCTGAGAGTTTATTTTTACCTCCTTCCTGGGAACACTTATCAAGGAGTTTACTAAAAGCTTCCAGTATGAGCCAGAAAACTGAAAATGAAGTGTCATGCTGAATAAAAATTACCATTTAAATTGAATTCTGTGTTCCCGGCATGGTGTATTAATATATCATGTGGTTTGTCTCATTTCTGCTTCATGACAGTCACGTGGCATGCCGTGATTATTAGCAAATTTACAGATGAGGCTCAAAGATAATGGCTGCGCATCTGAGAAGATATCTTAATTCCCAAAGTCCATTTACACTCACAATCATAATGAAGCCTCACAATCTTGTTAAGTAGAGGGAATTTCCGTATCTTAGAAGTAAAAGTGCCGTGAAAGGCCCAAGATCACACAGCTGGCACAATTGGGATTCAGTTTGAGATCTTCTGCTCCCTGATCGGGCGATTTTTGTTAGCTCACCAAAGGGCCTGGACCACCCCAGACCGTAAGATGATGTAGAACAGAGTTCAAAACTCCTCTGCTGTTTGCCACATTTTAGCTGTATGATTTTTAGACAAATTACTTAATCTCTCTGTCTCCCTCCATTTTACGTCTGTAACATCCTATAGCATCACTGGGGACCTTAGAATTTGTCTGGCTGTGGTAAACAATCTGGTTTTGCCTATTTAAAGATATTGTTTTGACAAATAGGTTTTCTCTTGAACAACTGAACCAGATTTTTGTGCATTCAATTCTCAGTTCAATCTGATGTCTAAATAATATGTGTCTAAAGAATACCTAGGCACCTGTAGTCCCAGCTACTCAGGAGGCTGAGGCAAGAGAATCGCCTAAGCCCAAGAACTGGAGGTTGGTGTGAGCTGTGATGCCACAGCACTCTACTGAGGGCAACAAAGTGAGACTCTATCTCTTAAAAAAAAAAATATATATATATATACACATATATGTAAATAACAGATAATAAATTCTGACTCTTTAAAATTAATCCTTTAAACTTAATGCCATTTAGGTTAATTTTGAAAGCAAGATAAATATTAGCAAATCTTTTTTCTTCTACATTTTCTATAACAACGTTATTTTCAAATCCTTTGTTAAGAAAAATTACCGACCAAAGAGTAAAATGATTGTACTTTGCTTTCTTGCTCATTTTTACGTGCAATGATGGCTAAACGTATTGCTAAATTGTGAGTCATTTTACGTTGTAACCTACTTTGAGCTTCTTGGACTCATGCTCAAGTAAGCAGACTGCCTAACTCCTGCTGAGTCAGTTGCTGCTTCTCAACTTATTGGATTCTTGTCCACTCAGCAACCTATCAGTTGTATATCCTTTCTACACTATCTTTTGGAAGCTTGTCTTGACAACACTTTTGCTGGTATCCACAGGTTGAAACAGAGCCACGTTTAGTCAGAGTATACAGAACCAGTGAACAAATTTCAGTACTGTTTGGGAAAGGCCGTTTTGTTCTTTTTTCAGAGCTTTGGTCCCTGTGCCCTTTTACTAGTGTATATTTTGGGAAAGCAATGAAGAAATGTAAGTACATTTCTGTCAGCATGTTAGAGCTGATGGAAACTTAAACTTGGAGTATGTAGCTGTACATGAAACTCCATCTTGAAAAGAATCCTGATGAAGCAATTCCAGATAGGAGCTAATAGCTAAAATATTTTGGTAGAAATTGCCTCACAACATTTATTTAAGTGTTTTCAGGATTTGAACACTAAAACCTCCCTCATTCATGACCCAGGCCAGTAAAGAGGGGATTTGAATGAGCAGCTAGAAAACCAGTTTTAGTCCCAGATTTTTCTGCTGGGAAACATCTTACTGACCTCATGTCTCCCAGGGAGGGTTAAAAAAGAATAGTCCCAACAGTCTAAAATGCAAAACCACCACATATGTTTATTGATTTATGATGGATGAGACTACTACGGATCAGATTCAGAACTTGGAGACGGACCTCATGTATCCATAAGTTTTTGTTTGTTTTTCTTTTTGGAGACAGTCTTACTTTGTCCCTTTCGGTAGAGTGCTGTAGTGTCACAGCTCACAGCAACCTCAAAGTCTTGGGCTTGGCTTGGCGCCTGTGGCTCAAGCGGCTAAGGCGCCAGCCACATACACCTAAGGTGGCGGGTTCGAATCCCCAGCC